CTCCTGAGCAGGACTGATGGTGCCTGACGCTCAGTCAGATGTGCTTCTTCCGGGAGTGGGCAAGGATTTGAGTGGGTGGCCACAGGCCGACTATGCCTTTTTGTGTCCCATGGGAGCTTCAATATCCAGAGCCCCTCATTAGTCAGACTCTTTAGCCTCAAGTGATTACAGAGCACTGCACATCCTCAGGGAGCAAGGCTGAGTGATGGAGAACTTGGCTTTGGATTCCCTCTCTAGGGAAGCCAAGCGGATGTCTGTCTTCTCTGCACTCCTTTTTTGGGCTTAAATCCCTTTCAAGTACCTTGCACAGCTGCATATGTCTTGGCTTTGTAATCAAATTCTAGTCTTTCTTGACTCTACCCTACCTTAATGACATTGTAAGAAAGGTGGAAATCACGTATAATATTGTGGATATGATATTTTATGACTAAATTTATATGAAATGTATAAAAATACACATGATAATATAATTAACGTAGGCTACAAATAAAAGCTGTAGGTTTTTTTTTTTTTTTTCGGTACTGGGAATTGAACTCACAACCTCACGCTTGCCAGGCAGGTGCTTACGACACTGAGCTAATAAGTGCTTGATTGATCAGTATTGCATGTCTCTGTGTGTTTTCATGAGAAACCACTCTGAAGATATCAATACCTAATACAACAAGCATTGCTAATTTCCTACCACTTTGTTTGCAACTCTGTATTGTCTGTACTGTTCTTTTGCTATTTTGTAAAAGGTTGTCTGTCTGTTAATGCTTTCCCCCTTCTATTTTTAAAATAAAAAAGACTGTAGGAGCTAATACTGTGAATCCTTCATGGGAAATTGGGTTTGTTTTTGCACATTATATACCATATGTTATGTAATATGCTATGTGTTATATGATATATTATATTCAAGTTCAATATATTGTAGTTACTAATGTATTCAAATGAAAAGACAATTATTGTTACTTTCAACAGCTTTACTGATATACAAAGGGTATGCAGCAAGCTGCATATATTTAAACTGTAAATATATATATTTGGCATATATAGACAGATATTCATATAGAGAAGAATGAATATGTATATATATACACATCTGAGAATTCATCTTCAAAATTAACAAGACATATGTTCATGTTTGTGTGTGTATACACAGAGAAATATAGTGATATGTATTTACAAAGGTATTTAGAGATATATGTCTGAGAATTCATCACCAAAATTGTTAACAGTATATCTATTAACTGCAACAGTTTTCTTTTAACTCCTTATAAAATCCCCCTTTGGCTTTGTTTATGCATTCAGCATAATTGTATTGAGATTTATTGAATTTATCTACCTATTTAGGAACATTATGACAATCCTGAGCCTTTAAATCACTGTATGAACTATTCCCCAGTAGTGTATTGGAGCTGTGAGCATATAAGCCTTACCATTTTCAAATCTATCCCTAAGAATATACACTTAAGATAATTGAAAGAAATCATAACCAATGATCCATTTCTGATTGAAATAAATGGAAAACTAAACAAACTTCCTGCAGCTAAACAGAAATAGGGAATGTACAGTAGTGCAACCACTGTGGAAATCAGTGTGAAGATTGCTCACAAAATTAGAATTAGAGGTAACATTTAACCCAGGCATACCCCTTCCGAATATCTTCCCAGAAGAATTAAAAATATCATACCAAAGCAATATATGCACATCAATGTTCATAGCAGCACAGCTTGTAACAGCTAAATTATGGACCAACCTAATGCCCACCAACTGAGGGATGGATAAGAAAGATGTAATTTTTATATACAATGTAGTCCTACTCAGCCGTAAAGAAGAATAAACTTGAGACATTTCTTAGTAAATGGATGCATCTTGAGACCATACTCTTGTCTATGGCTACACCATCCTGAACGTGTCCGATCTCATCTGATCTCGGAAGCTAAGCAGGTTCGGGCATGGTTAGTACTTGGATGGGAGACCATACTCTTAAGTGAAATAAACTGGACACGTGTAAATATCCCATTATCCTCCTAGTGTGAGAATCTGAAAGAATATATAAGGACCAAACTGTACAACAGATATTGTGAAATAGGAAGAAATTGCTTAAAAGGAAAGAGAAATTAGGGGGAAGGGGGAAAGAAAGGAAGGGAAAATTAAACAATGATAAAAAAGATACAATGGAAACAAAGCTTTGTAAATAGGCAGGGGAAGAAGGGTTGAAGGGAGGGAAGGGGATTGGAAAAAAGAGGAATGAAGATATATACAGGTACAAGTTCCCTATCATGAATAGGATCATTGTGTATTTCTAAATTTTATCAATAAACAATAAAAAGAACAGGAATAGGAGAATAAAGATCAAGTGGGAAAACTCTTCAGCTAACATCACATTTATGGTGAAACACTGATGAATCTAAAATGAAGAACAAAATGAGAGTCTTAGGCCTCCTTTTTATTACTAACTATACTGGAGGTTCTGGCTAGACACCAAAAAAGATATTCAACCTGAAAAGTAAAATTATGACAGTCTGTTCAGAACGGGTTTATGTGTATAAAAAAAAACTAGTGGAATGTGCAACATATTTTCTAGCACTAGCAAGTTTGTTTAGCAAGGCTTCAAGGTAAAAGGCCAACATAAAAAACCAATTGTGTGTTCATTATAAAGCAAAAGGCATTTTATTACTTTGTAGAATTTCAATATTGTACCAAACTTTACCAGTTTCACAGAGGTAGGTTTAATACCCAGTCTTTTTTATATTCTAGAACATCAATTGGAATTACACTTGATTGATCATATTGCTGAAATAAATTATAAATTATGAGAGGCAATCGGTCTGATACAATGGACCTTTGGTCATATAATCAAGTAAGTTCCATGTCATATTTGTTTGTGATAACAAATTTATTTTGTTTGACTCTTACAGTAATTAAGACAGAATACAGTGATACAGATATGGAGACATAAGACCACTTGAATAGAAGTGAGAAACTACAAAAACTTTAAGTCATGAATAAAAATTTTATTTATTACAAATGTGTAGTTAGAATGAATATGTATTATTTCATAAAAAATATAAGGAAATAAAATATATGTGGCATTTTTTAATCATACATGAAAGACAAAAGTAAATTCCAGGTGCATTTATGCCTCAAATATAGAAGATATAACTATAAAACTATTTTGATGCAAGTACAGATTAGTTAAAAAGGGACATATTTGACATCAACGCACTCAATAAAATATACATAAATTTGATTATGATAAAATCAAACATTTTTATTCAGCAAGAGCACATTACAAATGAAAAGTAACATAAGCCATATTCCTAATGAAGAGATTTTCAGTGGAAGGAACTTACAAATTTATGGTAAGAACTCTTATGAACTTGTGAGAAAAATGACAGTTTGGCAGTAATAACACAATCAGATATTTTACAAAGGAAGAAAATTAAATTATACATTATATGGAAGGAGACTTTGCAACTCAAATAAGAGAAATATAAGTTCAGTTGAATAATATTTTTTATACCCACTGGATTTTAACTGTAAGTGAAAATATATGCTAGTAATTCTTTGGTTCATCAAAACATCTTAATGCATGTAGTTGTACATTAGTTCAACAACTTAGAAAAACTTGAGAAACTCACTGGAAGATAGGTGATCCTACATATTCAATATCCAATATCCAATAACTTTAAAACTGTGTAAAACTTTCATTGTGAAAGTGTTTTTTTATTTCCAACAGGAGACATTTACAAGATTATTCAAATAACTTTATTTATGACTCCAGAAAATATGGACTGGTGTTTTAGGTCAGAGTAGAGTTCTTTCCTAGTGTGACTGAGAGCTTAGATTTGACCCATAACATCAAAAGACAACAAATCCACAGAATCACACAACTAATTACTGAACATTTCACCAGCATGAGAGAAAACAAGTGTATTGTGATTTCACCATGCATAATGTAAAAAAACTATATGGCAGAATAAGTCAATAAATCCAAATTTTACCCACAAACAGGTTTCACTCTCCAAGGGACAATGATGCAAATAATCGTAAACAGAATTCCTAAAGTCACATTACATTATTTAATAAGATGAAAAGGGAAAAATTCATTATACTTACATAAAATAAATTTTGTATTGATATATTCAAGGGTGATAAAAACATGCAGTTAACTTCAATGCTATCAGGCAAATATCATCAACCCTTGGAAATTTCATAGGATTCAAAATATTTCAAGAATATTATTGAAATGATAAAAATGGAATGCAACATATCTGTTTATATATGGGAGAGAGAGAAGGAAGATGTGAGAGTAAGATTCTGTTTTGTTCTTACCCTAGTGATAGGCATGTACATTTTCATTATATTACTCTAATTTTAATACTGAAGGCACATTTTATTGCATAATATATGATCTTTGACCAAATAAGTTTGCTACCAGACCTTATATATTCCAGATTTCAAACATTCTCTATGGACATTGTTCTGCTTTTCAAACTTGAGGTGGTATTAGAATCACACAAATGTGACATCTTTTAGACGTCTCTCCAAAGAAGGTTCAGTCAGTGGAATTTGTATGCACAGGAGCCTTCTGAGGCATACTTCTTCCAGAAACTCTATAGACATCCACAGAGGAAGCGCCTGGGTGGCAGAGTGGGGAGCTGTCCTCTGTTGTGGTGCTGAAGGCTTTTCATGGCTCCCTGCTATGCCCTCTTGTCCAGTGATGGATTTTCTTGTTGCTGCTCTAACTCTCCTGTGAGCTTCACATCATTTTCACTCCCACCCATGCAGACATGATTTTTACTTAGGTATTGCTTTTCTGCTTCTCCTAAATGGATCATCCTTAATCCTGACAGCTTCCCTATTTTCTTGGCTGTTTTCTTTTAAACCTAACACATTTCAAAAGTTTTTCTCCCCAGAAAATGGGTCTATTCTAAAGACAAATGAAAAATTTTACACAATGGTCCTAAATAGTCACTTACATTCATTCAGGAAGTGGTTTAAATTGGTGATGGTCACCCCCAAAATTCTGTCTTGCTTATTATTTTTCTCACAGCTTTCTTCATATCTTTGTTCCTCAGGCTGTAAATAAATGGGTTCATCATTTGAGGTACAACTGAATACATCATCGAAGCCACTGCAGACGTTCTGGATGAGTCAGTAACAGCAGAACTAATGTACACACCAAATCCTGTCCCATAGAATAATAATACCACTAACAGATGAGACCCACAGGTAGAAAAAGCTTTATATTTTCTGCCAGGTGATGGTACTCTCAAAAGAGAACAGATGATCTGAGAATAAGAAAAAATGATCCCAGACAGAGAACTACCACCCAGAAGGACAGACAAGAAATAAACCAAAATATTATTGATGAGAGTGTCAGTACAAGCAGGTTTGATGACCTGAGCAAGTTCACAGAAGAAGTGGGGGATTTCCAGGTCTGTGCAGAAGGACAGCCGCAGCACCATCAGAGTGTGGAGCAGGGCATCCACAACTCCAGTGGACAGTGAGACCAGCACAAGCTGGAAACAAAACTGGGGGTTCATGATGACACTGTACATTAGAGGGTGACAAATGGCTACATAGCGGTCATAGGCCATTGCTGAGAGTAGACAGTTTTCGAAGACAAGAAATGCCAGAACAAAGAAGACCTGGGAGAGGCAGGCTGCATAAGTGATGCTCTGGCTCTGGGACTGGATGTTCACCAGCATCTTTGGAAGTATGCTTGTGCTTAAACAGATGTCAGTAAATGACAGATTGCAGAGGAAGAAGTACATGGGCGTGTGGAGGTGGGAGTCAGAGCTGACGGCCAGGATGATGAGCAGGTTCCCCAGGATAGTGACCAGGTACATGGACAGGAACAGGCTGAAGAGTAAGGGCTGAAGTCCTGGGTCATCTGTCAGTTTTAGGAGAACAAATGGTGAATCAACTGTTTGGTTTGTGGGTTCCATGCTATTATGAATCTGATGGGAAAAATGGATGAGAAGAAAATGAGACCTGTGAAACTTGGGCTGTAGCAGCATCATCTGGTAACTTGTTAAAATGCTGAGACTTGGATTTAACAGAGATCTACTGATAATAAATTCAAAAGTTGACGACAAAACCTCATGATTTAACAACTTTTCCACATATGATAAGGTTTGAGAGTCCTTGCTAGAAAAACTGCATCTTCTCTGCTGTGAGCACAGTTGCATTAAAATACTTCTGTCCACTTATCCTTCCTTCTGTTCTTTCTCTTCCTTGTCTCCCTCCCTGTATATACTCAGCACAACTTTATCAAGCACAAAATCTCTCACTTGTTTTGCTCGGTGCTGTGAATGAAATAAAAATATATTGCTTTATTTTCTCAGAATTATTTTGTATCTTCAAGTAAATATAAATACAAAGATTAAATCATGAATTGTGTGTCATCCTTAGGGAATATTTTTCCTTATATGGTTTGTGGCATATGAGTAAGACCAAAAAATGTAAGTGAATGGAAGAAAACTTGAAAATCACAGACTTCTAAAATGTATATAAATTATAATTTGTTTGTGCCCCAAAAACAGACATACAAAATAATACTAATATCAGGCATCTCAACTGAATGTCCCTATAGAACTTGGATCTTGTTGTTTTGGTATTCACAGAAGTAGATATAGGAGCATATCTCTTAAACTGATACAGTCAACTAAAATCCATTGCTGTATGAATGGGACAATCTCCTCAACTCTATGAGCAGCCACAGTGTGGTCAAAGGTACAGCAGGGACTATTACAAATTTGTGATGCTTGGCAATTATAACAGTACAGACCAAATAGTGCTCAGCACATAGGACTCTCCCAGTGATATTTCACATTGGAAAGCTTTCTCTGCCATGACTAAGGTATCTTGCCTCTTTCCATCTTAGGAGAGCTCTTACGTGGAGTGCAGTAGGAAAAGAAAGCAACTGAGC